CTGATGATGACAAAACCTTGTCGAAACGTTGTACATTTGTTTTATGTTAAACTTTTATAAAGTTTTTCTTCATTACCCATTCAAGCTGTCTCCAGCCATTATTAGTCTCAAAGTGGGTTCCTCGTCATCAAATTTAGTTTGGTCCTCGAAGAAAATCTCCAAAGTAGAAGTATCATTAAAACATTATATTATTTTGTCTACATAAGTAGTTTTTTTATTATAATAAAACTTTTGAATTCATCACTAACTTTCACAATTAAGCTCTTATTATTTTTCAAATATTTGAAAGACCACTCATTCTTAGAAATATTTGATCTAACATGATAATTTATAAAACCTTTAATTATTGAGTTTATGTCACTTTTTAACATTTCAATACAACTTTCAGTCTCAAAATCAGCTGCAGGAAGATTTGGCTTGGGAAAATCAAAGGGAAATAGAAAAGAAAATTATAATTAGATTTAATATTGGTATCTTCAATGGAACCATACTTTTTTTTTTATAAGATCTCAGTATATGGTAACACTAATGTAGAAATGATCTCATACCAAGATTTACGTTAGTTGTCTAGAAACAGCAACATTTGGACCCTTTGAAAGAATGAAGATACAGTCTTTAGAGAGTGAGATGTTGTGGAGAATAGTCACATTCTTCTGGTTCTGGCTCCATGAATTTTTGTTGGTTCTGGTTGTAGTTTCATCATCAACTATAACAAGAGTGGAGCAAATAGTTGATGAGATTTTATCAACTTGTTGGTTAACAAGTGAAGGAAATGTCATGCACTTTTGCTGTATTGTTATCATTGGAGTCAGATAGTGTACCCTTATTGATGATACTTTCCTGCATGCCTTACATATCACATATAGATAACTGAGTACACTGGTGTTGACATTACTATAGTTAAATCAGGTTTAAATTGTTGGATGTGTTCTTTTCAGTTCTCAGTTTGTATCTGTATGTGACTCTGTAACCTTTGAGAAAAGCATAAGGTGAAACATTGGGTGTGAATAAAATAATTTTTTCTGGAGTGTATTAGTAGCTTTTTTTTTGTAAACATGATTTCAATCCTTCAGGTACCTGATGATGACATAATTTTGTCAAACTGTTGTACATTTATAATAAAGTTTCCTTCATTACCCATTCAAGTCTTTTCCGAACTTTCATGGTATTTATCTACTTGAATGACATAATTGCACATTGGAAGATCTTTCATAATGCATAAGATGTATCAAGGAAAATTCTGGATAGGTTGAGGAAAGAGAACCTTAAACTGAATCCCAAGTAATGTGAATTATTCTATCAACATGCAAGCTTCTATATATTTAGCAAAGAGAAAATGTCTATACATCCAACAAAGATTGCCTCTGTCAAGAATTTGCCAAAATCTGAATGAGTTAAGAGGATTTCTTACTATTGTCAATTTGTAATATAATTTTTTGATATAACTCATTCCCTACAGATATTACTTAAAAATCCAAATAAAGTTTGTTAGACTGTTGAGTGTGAACAAATATTCAGTAAACATGACTATCTACAACTCCTGTATTAACACAACTACTGAAGATCCATTCATATCAGATACACATGTGAGTGGTTTTGCATAAGGAACACAGAAAAGAACACGAAACCATCAACTACAGGAAAGTAGCAAATTCTGCAGAAAGAAGATATTATGAAATCCAGAAAAAGCAACTAAGTGTTGTTTGAGCCCTAAGTTATTTCCATCTTTACCTATAAGGTCAAAAGTTTACACTTCAAACAGATCATACAGCATTGAAGTGACTGGTAAATTTTTCAAACCAGAAGGCCTGATAGCAAGATTGAACATATAAATGCTGATGCATTATCCTGAATACCATGTGTTAAAAGTGTAAACACTGTGAAAAGAGGTACGCAAAAGATAGTAGAGATGATCAACCTAAAGTACAACAAAGTACATTTCCAGATGTGACATCCACAAGTGATGATGAAAGTCTAATCTTTGAAATGAAAGATGCTTACACAAATAATATGAGTTTGAAACGAATTATTCTATAGATCAAGAACAGAGCATAAAAATCCTCAAGACAAACAGATGTATTGGGCACACCAGGATTCCTTTTTCCTTCCAAGAGGGCTTATTATGAAAAAAAATGGTAAAATACCAGCGGAAAGAAAAATGACTACATTACAGTAAGTAATAGAATGCTGTTATTGGCTTTAATACCAGGTATCTGTAAAAAATTTGTATAAAAGATACAAACTATGCTGTAAGTGAAAAGGTCTATAAAAAAGCAGTATTGGCAGCTACAGCAATAATGTACTGGAGAACCATTTGAGAGAGTTGGTTGGTCCTTTGCTACAGACTGAATGTGGGAATAAACATTTTATGGTTGTAATGGACAGACTCATATACTGTTCCTAACCAGAACATAAACTCCAGAAAGAAAAATTGGCAACATATTCATTTTCCCATTTGGTGTGCCAACATAACTCAGATCAGTCTTGTTTATGGAAATGTATCAGACCCCTGGGATCAAAAACACAAGGACAAAAGCCCTTCATTCACCATCTGATGGCAAGGTGAAAAAATACACTGCATGCACACCATCAATCTCACACACAACTTTACCCAGGAAAGACTTAAATCAGCTAGCAATAAAATGAAAAGTCTCTATGATTTTAATGCTGATAAGAATAGATTCAATCGAGTTAACATAGCGGTACAATCCTTGCTGCAGGAAAGGACAAACCCCCAAAGTTAAGCAGGTGCTGAAAAAGTCTATACACTATTCTGAAAAAAATCAGTGAAGTGATTTAGAAAATGCAGGATTAGTCAATCCAATCCAAAGGTCATCCATGATGATCATCTTTGGAAGTATGTCAGTGAGAGAATTTCCAACTGGGTAACTCCAGAGAAGACTAGCCCAGTGACAGGACAGCCAGAGATGACAAGGGACCAGAGGCTGTTCCATCTGTATGCCATTGGTAGTGGAAGAAAAAACCATAAAAAAGCTGGTGAATGGACAGTTGTGTTGTGTCATATTTTTGTATTAGGATTGGTCAAGGGATTCTATAATCCAAGAAGGAAGCAATGTTGTAAGCTATATTTTCAATTCTTTAATCTAGATATCAGCTACAGGGTACATGACATTAAAGTAGGCCTAGAGTACTTTAAATGTTCTAGATGATTTCATAAAAATCTAGTAGCTTTAACGAATATCTAGAAGTGAGATATCAGTTATAAATACGAGTTATTAAAGTGGTAATATATGTCAAAATGAAGTATTCAGCATGTTGAGTAGATGTTGATCAAGTTAGTCTTTCACTTGATAAAGTGCCAGTTATTCAGTGATGTATATGAATCAGCATTAGTTATTCTTATATTAGGATTTGACCAATTAACTTTTACAAGTAAGTTCATTTGTATGTTAGTTGTAGTATCATTAGTGGGGTCGTTTTAAACTCAGACCTACAAGTTACTAAAGTGTACAATTGTGAAGGTGGCCTATATATATGATAATGGAGAAATAAACCAAACACAAGAGAGATAAACTCTTTGCTAGGGATGAACTCCCACCTCCCACATTTGTACAGGAAGTAAGAGTCTAACACCATAGGCTACTTTAACTTTCTAATTACCCGATAATCAGTGATGTGTGCATCAACTGGCCAATGACACAACAGATCAAAATCTTCTCTGGGGATGAGCTCACACCTGCCACATCTTTACAGGAAGTAAGAGTTTATAGGTTTATAGATTACTTTAGCTTTCTAGTTACCTGATAATCAGTGATGTGTGCATCGACTGGCCGATAACACATGACAGATCTACTCTTCTCTGAGGATGAACCCATACCTCCCATGTTTGTACAGGTTGAAATATATAGGAGTCACTGTAGACAAAGATGTAGAACTTTTTCTTAGAGCCGGAATTACCACATGAAGCCTGTAAAGTCAAATTTATAAATATATAGTTGAGTTTTGTCCACTTAGTAGCATTAAAAAACCTATGTTGATCCCTAAAAACATAAACCATTAGTTTAAACCCTTCAGTGATAACACAGGCACCCTCCATGTTTCAAAAATTATTTCCCAAAGTATTAATCTGGGCAAACCATTTCCTGCCATATTTTTAATTATTTGCCTGAATTTATTCACATGTTATCACATATTATAATCATGTTTACTAGATGACATTGGAAGTGCTGTTTCTGCTGATCTATATCAGATTTATTCTGAATTATATATCATAAAAACAGGAAAAAAGAATTCCTATTCTTTATTATAGTTTCACTTAAATAATATATTTCACACATGAATCCAGATATGCAACATTTATTTATCGAGTATATTTCGTGCAGAAATATAATACCAGATCATACAAGAACTATTGTTTTATTATAATATAAATACAGACTATCAAAAAGTGAAATAGAAAACCTGACTTTCTGGACTAATTTCCAAAAAATATTTTACAAGAAAAAAGTTAATAGCAATGGTAATGTATGAGTGTTACCAAAATAACAATTATTATATAACACTACTCAACATACGAAAACTAAAGTAAAATCTCCAAACAAGGTAAGAAAACTAATGAAGGATCTTCATTTAAGGTAAGGAAACAACAGTAGGATATTCACTTAAGATATGAAAACAAAAGACAGATCTACATTTAAGGAAAGAAAACTAAAGACAGACCTACATTTGAGATTATGAAACTAAATAGCATTTGTAGCACCACTCTCTAGGTAGGAAGACCAAAATAGATTTCTGATCAAGGGAAAACAGCAAGAATAGGATATGTAATGCCACTCAAGTTAAGAAAACGGAAGGACCTATAACACAACATAAACTATTATAGGATCAATAATACAACTCAAGGTAATAAAACAAAAATATAATTTCCACTCAAGGTAAGAAAACAGTAGGATCTATAATACATTAAAACTATTATAGGATCTATAACACAACATGACAACTATTATAGGATCAATAACACCACATAAAACTATTATAGGATCAATAACACCACATAAAACTATTATAGGATCAATAATACAACGTAAAAACTATTATAGGATCAATAACACAAAATAAAACTATTATAGGATCAATAACACAACATGACAACTATTATAGGATCTATAAGACAACATAAAAACTATTATAGGATCAATAACACCACATAAAACTATCATAGAATCAATAACACCACATAACAACAATTATAGGATCAATAATACAACATAAACTATTATAGGGTCTATAACACAAAATAAAAAACTATTATAGGATCTATAATACAACATAAAAAATATTATAGGATCAACAATACAACATAAAGAACTAATATAGAATCTATAACACAATATAAACTATAATAGGATCTGCAGTGGCACAGCAAGGGGGGCAGTTGCACCCGGGCACAGGTGTGAAGGGGCGCAAAATTTCCTCTGGCCTATAATGCCTATTAATTAATAATTATGCCCTCCCATAGGATATAGTACTACTGCCCTACGTTATGTAATTATGATAGTGTTATGTTATTTGTGTGTATTACGCTTGCAGTTTTAACTTTTAAAAGCTGCCCACTGAAATACAGTGAGACCAAATTGACGTACAGAAGTAAATTACAATATTCCATCATTCATCTATAGATCAAATACAAGTCCTAGAGTATAACGTACAAGTAAGCGTATATTCAACAAAAAGAAAATATGAGATTGATGTAACATATTAACTGGTGTGCAAGATTGGCAACATATGCAACAGGCAAGGCCTAAATCTATATCTAGTAAACATTATAGACCTAATGTAGTGGTTTGTAATTGTATTGGCTGATTGTAAACCATGTCTTACACCAACTAATGTACTAGACTTTAGGTCTAATTGCAGTTATAACTTTATTTCTAGACCTTAGGTCCATCATCATACAAATTGTAGCCTATATCATAGGCATACTTATACCTATACTAACTATTAAACTAGGCATTGCACTGGGACAGATCTAATGACTAAGTTAATAAATCTAGATGTAACATTTGTTCTAAAAGTTAGGCCTAATAAATCTAAATCTAGAATTGATGAGGCAGGGTTATATCTAGATCTGGGTAGATTCAGTACAAGGTGCTTTCAATCTGTGCACTCAAATCTAAGGTCTAGTTTAGATGTATAAAGCTAAATTTCTGTCATTATTATTACATCTTGATCCAAGACCAAAAAGATGGAAATAACATGTCTAACATTAATGTTAGATCTAGATGTACTAGCAACTTAATCTAGGAACTGTAATCTAGCACCACTAATTAGTTAGCCTATATTTAAGTTTTCTCATTCTATCAAAACCTTTAATATTAAATATAGCCTTTGAGCCTCTAGGCTGATATTATGTTATGATTACACCCTTCTCCACAGTGTGTTTGCTCGAATGAAAATTACTTTCAGACTTGTCTCCTGTAGTGTTCGGGTAGTTGAACCTATCGAGTTTTTAAATGTGATTTAGCAATTGCCAGTAATTTATATGGTGCTCATAATCATGATTTACCAGCATATACAATCATCTGCATTGATTTTGTTACTGTTGTGTCACATTAATTAACATAAGTATGGGTGGTCTAAATAGTGGCAGTTAAAGTGAAACAAGGTCTAGATTTGACTAACTAGTCCTGAGCTGCAACTATAATTGCATAATTTAAATATAATTTGTGGTCAGGAACTTAGGAAAGTAGCATGCTTCCTTTCTTCTGACAATTTGCAGGTTGCAACTAAATAGTATAGTCAGTATTTGTTAATTTATTCTTTTAGCCCATTATGTCGAAAAGAGAAAAGGGGGCACAGGGACGCAAAAGACGTGCACAATTTGCAGCTTCGATGGTAGAGTCAAGCAAATTGATGAGAGCTTTCCTTGCTGGAAGTGATGACACCAGTAAGCCAGCATCTGTTCCTTTTGATGGCAGCAAAGAGGTCAAAGCGCAAGATTGTGAACATGTTATTTCACTTGAAAAAGAAAACAATGAAGAAACTGTTCTCTGTACTGTTGAAAGCTACAATAATAATAAACAAGAGGATTCCACTTTGTCAGAAACAAATCCACAGAATAGTGTTGCTAAGCTAAAAGAGGATGACCTGATAAATATTTTATTTATTATCCACAGGGATATTGGATTTATGAAGTTTGATACAACAGGCTCAGCAGTTGTACCACATGCACATCGCACATCGTTAAAGTTGGAGCACATGAATTTCAACATAAAGAAGGTCCATTTGATGCCAAAGATAGGCATTCTATGACTGCATTTTGGTTCAAACGACGCCTTCGGAATGGATAAGAGGTCAATCGTTCTTGGTTGGTGTATTCACCTCTATATAAAGCAGCATACGGCTTTTGTTGTCTGCTTTTTTCATCTACATGTATGACATCCGATAGTCGGTCTGCTTTCAAAACACAGGGTGGATTCTCTAAGTGGGAAAAAATAGAAAAGTTAAATGCCCATTAAAATAGTGACAGTCATCGTGAGTCATTTGTTGCTTGGAAAGAAACTGAGCGCCGAATTCGTCTTCAAAGTGGCATTGACGAAGAGCTGCCAAGGCGAATTCAGCAAAAAAAAAATAAATGGAGAGATGTACTGCGACGGGTGCTGGATTGTACATAATATTCAGCTTGTCAGAATCTTGCATTTCAAGGTCATACTGAGGACATAACCTCAAACGAAAACCCTGGAAATGTCCTGTCACATTTGCAGTGATTAGCAAAGTATGATCCAGTAATGAGAGAGCAATTAGAGCGTGTTAAAAACAAGCAAACGTCAACATCTTATCTTTCTCCTGAAATCCAAAATGAGATTTTAATCTCATGGCTTCACATGTGCGAAATTATTGTTTGTCAGCAATTCGTAGAAACAAATACTATGGTATTCTGTTTAATTCCACACCTGATTTAGTCCATCGTGAGCAATTGGTCCAAGTGATTCGGTTTGTTGACATTGACTTTAAGACAAGAAAAGTAGAAGTGAAAGAGTCATTTATTGACTTCATACAGATAAAGGAAAAAGACGCTGCCAATATTGAGAAAACAAAACACAAAATTAGAAGCTGATGGAATTTTATTGAGTGATTGTTGTTCACAATGTTATGATTATGCTGCTGTCATGTCAGGTCATCTGTAAGGCGTTCAACAAAAAATTCTGAACAAAAATCCAAAAGCAGTGTTTAGAAACTGTGACAACCATAGTTTGAACTTAGCATATCTTTATGCTGCAAGTCAGGAAACAACAGTTGTTACCTTTTTTGGTATAATTGAAGCCATTTATAATTTATTTGCTCATTGAACAACTCGATGGGACGAACTGCAGCAGAAGCTTAAGATCTCTGTCAAGCGTGAATCAAAAACACGGTGGAGTGCAAGAGAAAAGGCAGTAAAAGTTGTGCATGAAAAACTGTATGAATTGCTAGGACTGTTAGAGTAATTAAGTGAGAATGGCAACACGGCTGAAACAAAATATGGTGCTCATAATATTCTGCAACGCATGTTTATATATGATTTTCTTGTACTTTTGCATTTTTGGAGAAATCTCTTATCATCTATTACTTGAGTGCAGAAACGTCTTCAGGACCCAAAAATGAATCTTAGAGAATCAGCTGCTGATCTTGATTCTTTGAAAGAGAAACTGATAGAATCACGTGAAAAGTCCTGTCAAGAAGCACTTAAAGTGGCAAGAATCAAT